AGAACCAAACCTTGAATTCTGATGCCATTAAGGTATCCTTTAGCTTAGGAACAATATCATAGGAAATTATATTAAAGAGACCATCAAGTTGGATAGATCTCTTTGCATTAGATGGCACCACTTTGAATCCTGCCCTATTTGAACCACTTGATTGGGATAAAACCACCTGCCCATGGGTTGAATAGAAATTTAGTAGCAAGAATAGGTGACAAAAATTCATATCCAAAATACCACATTTGATGCAAATGAAAAACATTTGGTGGAAAGACAGCAGAAAGCATTACTTTCCATCATTTACGATGGAGCAAAAAATTCACTATCTTTTGGCTTTGGGTGTGATGGAATAAAGCAAAATGGATCTCTAAGTTGTCTGCACTTTTGTAATTAATGAAGTAGCAGTTAGACAATCAATGCAACTTTACACGCAACCAGGGATCTCTACTGGGTTGTTGTTGTTGTACAGCAGAAAGCATTAATTATGTGGTGAGACTATACACAATCCAACAGGCTAATGCCACTCCTCCCACCCATATCAGCTAGGTCCACTTCCCTTACATAAAAATTTGAAATTAGCCATTTAGGGAGTGCAAATAGTAAATTTGGGTGAGAGGAGTGACACTAGTTATTTAGGGTGTGAATTGAAGTGTGGTCTTGACAGCCAATAAAAGCAAGAAATAACAGTTGGCCATCACCTTAACACTATAGTCATAAGCAACAACCAAACCTCCCAAAATTGGACAACTTCATAAAAATGCAAGAAAAGAGCTCAAATCTCCATACAGTTGAAAATCTTATAAAACGCTGGCTCATCAGGACAGCAAAACCACTACTAAGCCCCCACTCTTAGGTGTTCTATTGACTAAAGATTTTTATCTAAAAACACAATTTTAAAAAGAGATATCTTATTGTCAGAACTTTAGAATCTTTTCAATACCTAGTTTACCTACTTTGTTCAGATGCTTAAATATCACAGAGAGTCAAAGATCTACGGAGAAAGAAAAATGGAAAAGGAAAAACATGAAATAACTGCCTTGTTGAGTGAACAAATGATGTCACATAGTGTAGAGATGGTCAAACAATAACACACTAAGATTAATCATTGTGAGCATTAAGTTATATGCTTATGTTTAGAACATAGCACAGAAACGTACAAGTATATCAGAAGGTGAAATATCAAGCCACTGTTGAATCATCTGCAAGAGTTAGTTAAAGCAATGAGCATCGGGTATAAATATAAAGAAAGAGATACCTTGATATTGAGTCATTGAAATTACTTACAGAAGCCCAATGCAAACGCAAAGAAGATGGAGTAATAATAAGAACAGGCCATGATTCACGGATACAACAACTTACAGCAATGGCCTGCAGCAAAGAGCACAACTTTGATAGATGTACTTATAATAATAGTGAAAGGTTTTGACATATGCACACCAAGTAACACTTAACACTCCCTCCATCCCATAAAAAGTATCCACATTTTCTTCTTTGTTTGTCTCAATAAAAAGGATCCACTTTCCTTTTGGAGAAGGATATGTGTGGGTCTTACAATTTTTCTCTTCTACCCAAAATTCAACCACACAATTTCACCTCTTAATAATTGGGTCCGGTCAATTGTAGAACCCTATTTTGGAAAGAAAACATTAAATTGACAGTTACCCACAGTAGAAGCAAAAATGTTCAAATGGAGAATAGATTGCAATAGAAAAGCTAATGTCTAGTGAAGGGATATGATAACAAAAGCTACTAACCTAGACACTGGATTTTCCAAAGACATAATACAAGAACACGTCAAACATTTAGGTTTCTGCATACATCATTTTTCTGCTTGTTTAAACAATTTTCTGCTTTCGATGCCATCAAACAAAAGAGGTGCAAAATCAAGGAAAATATCAAGTGTACCAATTCAGTTAATTGTATGTCGATCCATACACAATGCAATGTATCATTTACAAAAGCTAGGTTTATATTTGTTGGGCCAAGCTGATTACAAGTAGAGTTAAGGGTGGTATTAAACATTTTCCCACAATCCGGTGCATTTAACTACACCAAGTAGCATGGACTATACAAATATAATCAATTTCAATATGCCACAAACATAACTTTTGAACCGTTATGGATTTTAACTCTTTGGCTGGACTTCATTCCAGTACAGCCTTGAGCTCACTGGCTCACTACAAAGAACACATGATCTAATTATACAGTTCCTTTCATGCTCTCTGCCCCATTATCTCCCTCGTGTCAACATCTCTTACCATATAAAAATATGTAATAGCTTAGAGATTTTTCCACCATTCCTTCCACTGGTAAAACCATTATTGTTGGCAAGTAATAACCAATATTCTTGAAATTGTTAGCCCACTTAGAAACACCTAATTTGGCACCTAATGGATTCAAGTGGCACCTAATTGTTCCACGATAAGGACCAAGTGGATTCAAGACAAGTCTACAATATTGCTAACCTAATTGACAACCAATATTCTAGAAAAAAATTAGCTCACTTTGAAGCTAAAATATGGCTTAACTACATTGTGGGAATGTAGTTTTTGTTAAAGTACCACCTGAAGTGTCTTTCCAAGTCCCATTTCATCAGCTAGAAAGACACGAGCACCATGTTGCAAGGCAAATCTGGGAGGATTAACACTTAGTTCTCATGCGTTCAATTGATAATTGAACTACTTCAAATTCAAAAATATATCATAAACCAATACATACGTCATGTAAGAAAAACTTAAACTTACCGTACACCATCCTGCTGAAAAGGCATTAGCTTTTTTTCAATGCTTTCAGGAATGTATTCATAGCGATCTTAGGCCAAAAAACAAAACAAAAACAGCCAACATGAATAGAATAATAGACTGGCATACAATTACAAATCCCTATACTTAACTGAACTAAGCCCAAACCCTAGAGCATTTACGTTTACAGAAGAGCACTTGCATCCATGTTAGACAATACAAGGAGTAAGATTAAGGTTGCTATGTCACAAGGTTTGAAAAGAATTCATCATCGAAAGCAGTAGCAGCAACAACAAAATTTCAGACAATACATGAATGCGATTAAGGTTGCTAAGTCTTTGAAAAAAGAGCATCATCATCATCACCAATAGAAACAAAAACCCAGTAAATCCCACAACTGCAACAAGCGGGGTCTCATGAGGGTAGACGGGTACAGAACTTACCCCTACCCAAAAGGTAGAGATGTTGTTGCTAGTAAACCTGGGGATCAGAAAACAAACTGGAAAGACAGAAGAAAAGGAGATGGTGGTAAAGACTAAAGAGGGTAAGTTTGAGAAGAAATCCGGGCAATTACATCAAAACATAGTAACCTTCACAACAAGCATTTCAATATGAGCTAACCACTGCATATTAGAAAGAACCAGGATAACTAATTTACCTTGAATATCACAAACTTCATTGGCTGCAGCAATAGCACGCCGCACCAACGGATCTAAGCTCTCAATCTACATAACAAGATACTAATCTCATGTTTTGGAAAAAAATAGGATGCACTTCAAATCAATTTGAACCACCACTCAGAAGGAAAACAATACTCCCTTTGTCCCATTAAGTTGGGGATGAGGGAATATGGCACACAAATTAAGAAAGTGGAATTTTGTGATTGAAATTGTGATGTGTGGATAATCTGAGCCTCATAAAATATGACATTATATGGTAAGGGACAAGTATTTTAGGTTGGACAAGAAAGGGAGAAACGTAGTGGGGCAGAGGGAGCAACAACCTGGCATTGTTTATTTGGAGAAATGAAATCAAAGTGTATTATGTATATAACACACCTCCACGTTTAAGCTAGAAATTTCATTTAGGACTTTTTCTGCAGATGACAACGATGACAGCGGAAACATCCACAATCTACAAAAATTAAAAATACATAAGCACGTCTAAGTTGAGGTTGACGCTATATATATTTGATTCTTTAACCATCTCAATACACTATTAGTCTACAATCAATTAAAAAATCATCATGGGGGCGAATGCAAGCCCTGAAACATTTGAAATGAAGTGAATGCTTTGAAAGTGGGAAATGTAAGACCATGTGATTTTTTACTCAATTTAAATAATATAAAAAACTGCATGCAGTCTAATATTAGGGAACACTTCACTCCTTTATTTCCGGTAAACTAATCAATTCAAATCCCTAAGAATCTAAAATGTGTGACACAAATTCCTCTCCCTTCCAACCACTTGAACTACCCCAGATGGCCTACTTCCTTCTGTCAAACTTGTACCTTCCCTACTTCTTTCCTTGCTCGAACATAGTGTGAAATACAACTTATAATTTATTCATAATAGTACGATACACATGTAAATAAGGTAAAACAAAAAGTAAATTGCTGCTAGTCTTTCACAATACAACAACCCAGTTGGATCCCACTAGGGAGGGTGTGTGTACACAAACCTTACCCCTACTCGAAATTAGAGAGGTTGTTTCCAAGAGACCACAGCTCGAGTAAGAGCAAAAAAGTTGCAAAAGCAAACTAATGCTAACAAAGGAAATAGTCTTTCACAATAGTGATCCATTCAAGTATGCGTAGATTCTTACATTTTCCTTGATTATACTAAATATATGCATTAGTACGAGAGGTGAGTGATAAACCCCCGGGACATGCACAAGTCTTATACAAGTACAACCGTTACGGCCCCCAGGTCATGCCAAACGTAAAAAAAGGTGAATGTGACAGCAGAACTTCTGAAGCAAAAACACTGCAAATGTCTTATTATCATAAGTTACTCCTTCGGGGTTCCTATATGATCTACGGTTAATTGGAGGGATTCATGCAAACAGTTTGAACATGGTCATCATTCATCAAGAAGACATGTCATAAACTTAAAATGAAAAGTCACATGACAACAAAGTTGTATACCGTAAGGCAATGGCTAGAATCAAATAAACATCAGTGTTACCTTTCTTTTGCATTCCAACCAGCTTTAGGTATTTTGCGGAAGGCATCAACAAGTTGCTGGAATAAGGATAGAGCTTAGAGAATAAGAGCAATATGATGTAGCCATTTATAATATATTTATAAGAGCCTGTTAGGGATTACTACCTGATCAAACAGGAATCTTGCAGCTATATTACCACTTGCATGGAGAAAAATTTTAACAAAACGTTTTTGTGGCTTTCTTAACAAATTATCTTCATGGTGCCCTATATTTCCACCAGAATGTTTTCAATACATTCATAATGAAGGGACTTAAATAGAAGTTATATGTGAACTTGATCAAATTTGAAAGATGCAAGGATATTACCAGCTGTTTTAGTTGACCCAACTGAAGTCGTTATTCTAGATGGTTGAGATTGAGCACCTTTCTGCACAAAGTTAAGGGAAGAGAATGTAGAACACAGACCCGCGTGATATAAATGGGAAACATAGAGAATGAACATCATTATGGAAATAATATTCATCACACAACAGATGATCCACTATAAAAATTCCACACTCCAGGTACAAGGGTACATCAATGGAAAAATGAACACATACTACAGCTGACCATTTAACCTTTTTCAGTTCAGGCTACATCGTAAAAGATGAGCGACTAACTACTTAACAAAGGTCACAAGTATTTAAAAAATAAACTCAATAGTGGATCTCACAAAAATTAAAATTTGTTTTTTTGCTTGTTATAAAACAAGACTCTTTTTATGGGAAGGAGAGTAACATGAAACCCTTGTTAGATGCAACACAAAAACAGAAAATAGGCAGAGGCACCTGAGTATGCTGGAGAGAGGTGGTAGCAGAATAAGATGACGAGTTGCGCTCGGCGATTTGTTTCAGGGCATCTTGCTCCAGAGAATCAAGCTCATGCGCACTAGGTTCCCAGTCATCCAATTCCATAGATGGATTATGCGGACTCAGGGTGCTGGGATGGAAATTTTACAAATGGGATAAGCTTCAAATAAGCCCTCCTACTAGTTAAGACTTAAGAAAAGTTGATTTCACCATTTTCACCCATAAACTCATCAACTCATTTTTTAGGGTTTGGAATGAACAGAGAGTATCACTCTGATCAAAGTTCTAATGCTCGTTCATAACCCATTTGAAAGATAGTTAAAACTTCTTACTCCGCATTTTAATTCAATTGTAAAACATACAAATTCAGTGTTGAAGGCTACCCTAGAATAATGTGATCTTCAATGACGGAGGATGAATGAATATAATTCATCCTCAATTATAAAACCCCAAGAATTTGTGCAAAAAAAGAAAAAGAAAAAAAAATCTTGATGCCGTTGAAGAATCCTAGAATCAGAACTTAATTGAAGCTTCATGTTCAAAAACAAATCCCCAGCTATAAAAATCCCAGTAATTTATGAAAATAAAATCTGATAAGATGCTAGAAAAGGGTCTCATAGATTATACCTAGACTTGGGAAATTTGATGAAGCTTCCAATCGGGAGAAACAATATTGACAGAAACGTCGCTGGAGGAGCCAGTTCCTAACATTCCAGTACCTCCATTCTTCTGACCGCCAATTCCCTTGGGTCAGACGGTTCTAAAAGTAGAAAATTTTAATTTATGAAGAGAGTGTTTAAGGTTTAACTTTATAAATAATAAATACTCCCTCCATTCCTATTTATCCGCCTATTAAGGTTAATTCACGCTTATTAAGGATGCATTAATTCTTTTTTGTATGGTCAAGAATACCCTTGTTAATTCAATCCTCCACCCTTATTAATTTTATTATGGGGAACACGCAAGAAGATTATGAAAAGTCTAATCTATACTTTATTTAAAAGAAAAAAAATTATCTCAAATAATCCCACCTTTTAGTGCTCTTTCAAAAATAATCCTACTTTTCACCCTCACCAGAAATAATCTCACTTTCCCGCATGTGTGCGAGTTTTGGGTCGCCGTTAAAAAACTAATGGTCACTTAACGGAAATTTTGAAAAATGCCCGTTTTTCGCAAATAAATGAAAGGTGGGATTATTTTAGGTAAATTCTCCCTTTTTCGTTTTTCGCAAATAAATGAAAGGTGGGATTATTTTAGGTAAATTCTCCCTTTTTCGTTTTTGTAAGTTGCATTTACTGTATTTTTCTTGAAGTGCACTTCAAATTATTTTTTGATACTACATTATTATTATTTCTTAAAAAAATGGCATTACAAAACTTATAAATATTTTTCGATAGTTCTATATAAATATTTTTTGTGAAACAACATTACAATAGTTGTGTAAATAACACAACAATTTTTTCTCTAAAATACAACTTTTATTTTTATAACTCACTACATTTTCTGATGTATTGCAATTTTTCCATGAACACTCTGAAATTTTTATTGATAATCTTTTATTGCAATAAAATTTTCTTTCTAAAATGGAACTACCCAATTTGTTATTTTTTTAATAATTCAATACAAATTTTTCCCCAAAATAGTAATTCAAAAGTTGTGAAAATGACACAATATTTTTTTCTCCGAAACGGAACCCATAAATTTTATAAATCACTACAAAATTTGTTAATCGTTAGACAAATCTCTAACAAGAGTGTATTGTTATATTTTAAAAAATATTAATTTTAAATTCAAAACTAAAAAAGTAAAAAGTAATTTTTTCTAAAATAATCTCACCTTTCATTTATTTGCAAAAAACAGGCATTTTTAAAAACTTCTGTTAAGTGGCCGTTAGTTTTTTAACGGTGACCCAAAAGTCGCACACATGCGAAAAGGTGGGATTATTTCCAGTGACAGTGAAAAGTAGGATTATTTTTGAAAGAACGTGAAAAGGTGAGATTATTTGAGATAATTTTTCCTATTTAAAAAGAGGTGAATTTTTTCCCGCCCATACATGAGACTCATATATGGAAAGTGTTGACAACACAAATGTTAGTTTAATTATTTTCCCTCAATATCTTCCTTCCATTTTAAGTCTGTTTTCATTTTTATTTAAATGTTACACCATTTAAGTTTTTAAATTAAATTAAATAAATTAAATATTAGTGAACCACTAGGAAATTATAGTATGGAAATAAAATACGGTAGTATTTAAATATGAAAATAAAATTAAAACTACAGATTAATAAAGTATGGGCGGGATTAGAATGATTTATTTTAAAAAAACTATGTACAAATTAATTAGTTATTTCAAAAAAATATTATAATTTACAAGCACGAACGTGTGAAAATGGTAAGTTTCTAAAATGAATTAGAAAATAAATATGGTACGGTAAATAAATGGTAACATTTATGTAAAAAAAATAAAAAAATACAAATTAATATTAAAACTATAATTTACAAGCATGGAAATGTTTTAAAAATGACTAGAAGCACACTTGTGTGTTGCACGGGTCATTTTTATGTTATTAAATTCAAATCATTTTTCAATGATAAAAATGAGATGCAATATAATATAGAGTTTATGCTATTTTAAGGTAAAAACATCACTGCTTTACAAATTTCGAAAGACTTCTTAATAGACTACATTATTGTACAATTTGTGGGAATATTTATAGTAGTTTATTTAATTGTAATAGGCTATAGGCTATTATAATTATAATTATAATAAGAAGGATTAACTTTTTTCGAAATTGGGTGTATAATTATTCTTTCCATAATTACTTTTTTCGAAATTGGGTGTATAATTACCTAACTTACCTTTTTTAATTATTTCCAATTTCCAAAAACTTACGCTTTGCATTTGTATAACTTACCTTTATTAAAAACTTACACTTTGGATTTGTATAACTTACCTTTTTAATACGTTAATTATTATAAATATAATAATTATATTAACTTCCGATGGCTTACCATTTTATATTACTCACGTTAATTATTATAAAAATAATTATATTAACTTCCAATGGTTAAAAATGACAATTACTTATTCTTACCATAATTTCAGACGTTTCCAATCAGTAGTCAAAACTCAAAATAACGTTGGTTAATTATTAGCATATACATTGATTTCAATTTTATTAAAAACTTACGCTCTTCAATTTTATAACTTACTTTTTTAATTATTTCTAATTTTCAATACATTAATTATTATATGTATAATAATTATATTAACCTCACACTTACCATTTTATATTATTCACTTTAATTATTATAAAAATGATAGCTATATTAACTTCTCACTTACAATACGTTAATTAATTATTATAAAAATAATAGCTATTATTATATTTATACCTTTTTAAATAAATTAATTATTCTATTTATACCTTTTTAAATAATTATAACTTCACAATTTTGGCCACTTACCATTTTAATTTTACAATTATTAACTTACCTTTCGGCCATTTTATAATTATTATAAATATAATAATTATAATAATTATTATTAAAATTTTTACCATTTTAACTTCACAACTATTAACTTACCTTTCGACCATTTTATAATTATAATAGTTATAATAATTATAATAATTATAATAATTATAATAATTATTACTATAGTTTCGGACACTGCAATTATTAACTTACTTTTCGGCCATTTTAACTTACCTTTCTTTAATTATTATAAATATAATAATTATTACTATAATTTCGGCCACTTACCATTTTAACTTCACAATTGCCATTTGTAATTATCATACTCTTTGAGCGGGAAAACCATATGTTGACTCCATGTCTTTTTAAATAAAGTATGGATAAGTGTTCTAATTAGAAAATAAGAAAATAAATATGGTATGGTACGGTAAGCAAATGGCACTATTTAAAAATGAAAACAAAAAAATGGTAAGTGTTCTAAAATAAATTAGGTAAGTGTTCTAAAATAAAAGAGAAATTAAAATACATCTAAAAATGATAAGTGTTCTAAAATAAATTAGAAAATAAATGTGGTTCAGTAAGTAATTAGTACCATTTTAATAAAAAAATTGCAAAATTAATATTAATACTATAATTTACAAACATGAAAATGTTTTAAAAAAGGTAAGTGTTCTAATTAGAAAATTAGTCAATAAATACGGCACGATAAGCAAATGATATCATTTTAATACAAAAATAAATAAATGTTAAGTGTTCTAAAATAAAGTAGGTAAGTGTTCTAAATAAATTAGAAAATAAAATAAGTATCAAAATGGTAAGTGTTCTAAAATATATTAGAAAATAAATACGGTAAGGTAGGTAAATGATACCATTTAAATACAAAAATAAAATGGAAAAACTACAAATTAATACTATTAATTAATACTACAATTTACAAGCATGGAAATGTGTAAAAATGGTAAGTGTTATCAAATAAATTAAAAATAAATATGGTAGAGTAAGTAAATGGTACCATTTAAAAGCAAAAATAAAAAAATTATAAAGTAATACTATTAATACTATAAGCATGGAAACATGTAATAATGGTAAGTATTCTAAAATTAATACTATTAATACTATAATTTACAAGCATGGACACATGTAAAAATGGTAAGTGATCTAAAATAAAATATAAAATAAATACCGTAGGGTAAGTAAATGGTATCATTTAAATATGAAAATAAAATCAAAAAACTACAAATTCCAAAATAAAAACATTAATATGTTGAATTATTGCTTAGATAAGTCAAATTATTGAATTTTTGTCAAGGACAATATCTGAAACATATTGAATTATTATTACGGAAACCTGTATTTAGTAATGCGCAAGTGTATATGGCTTGAAGATCCTGATATACAACGAAGTGAATGCTCACACAAATTATACGAGTAATGTAGTTTATAAAAAAGTCTTGCAAAATTTGTAAATCATTTTATTTTTATACTTTAAAATAATGAAATCTCTACATTCCAATATATACCAATTTATATTCTTAAAAATGACCTTAATTTAGTAACGTAACTATGACCCGTGCAGCGCACGGGTGTGATACTAGTAATCCCTCAAAAAAAAATGAAAAGTCTTTTAATCACAAAGCTCTTGGAGATCTGTTAGTATTCTTCAAGGAGTAAAAGGACATTTCAATACACTTTATTGCATCGATTTCTGAAATGGTCAATTATTTGTGAACAAATGAAATTTTTATAATAGACAGATAAAAAGGAATGGAGGGAGTACGAATTTAAATTGGGTTGAATAGAGTGTGATTTTTTATCTATCGAATGCTAAACTCATAAACATTTTGATCATTATTGTCAATATAAACAAATTTGCTAAAAATTGAAAATTACCTTATCCATCTTACTTTTTTTTTATCTTTTTTCTTATTTTTGTTGGTCTTACTATTATTGTCTCATCTTAATTTTTATCATTTACATTCGTTCTTATTTTAACTTATTTTTTACATCATTATTAACTATATAATCTTATTTTTTTAACTAGTACTTCACCTATAAGATGCACAGGAATAAATTAACTCAATAATTAAAGATGATCACACTAAATATATGTTATATTTTTTAGCTTTAAATGATATAATAATATCTTGAAATATAAATCCTTTATATATTATATTTGGGAGTTTAACTCCTAGAATTTTGACATTTGTCATGCTGACGGGGATTTTTTTGACACTTCATAAGTCATGTCATCATATTGGACTTACTCAATATTTCAAACGGGTTGGATAATGATTCATTACTTTGGGCTTCTTTCATTTGGGCTATTTATGTGGAATTCATCCACAAGTCTGAATGAAGCGAGAC